AATAAATCTAACATAAGAAACGTTTGGAGGGGAATCAAGGAGATTATTGGATCCCCTCGAAGTAATACTAGCTTACCATCTAAATTTATAACAGAGAATAATACCGAGCTGACTGATTGTAAGGACATTGCAGATCATTTCAATAATTTTTTTAGCAATGTTGGTAATACTCTTGCATCATCCATCTCTAACTCAAGCATTTCACCAATGCAGTTCTTACCGTCAAGAGTAAGTCATAAATTCTGTATTTCTCCTGTTACATCACAGGAAGTTGAGGATGAAATTGGGAAGTTAAATTCAAAAAAAGCAGTTGGTCCTTTTAGTATACCAACTCCTATACTAAAATCTATTAAGCATCTTATTTCTGAACCTCTTAAGCATATATTTAATAACTCTTTCACTTCTGGTATTGTTCCTGATGGTCTTAAACTAGCACGTATAACACCTGTATTTAAGAAGGGCTCRCAATTAGATGTTAATAATTATCGCCCTATTTCTCTAATATCCATCTTCAGCAGAATTCTTGAAAAGCTCATGTGCAGTAGGCTACTTGAATTTATAAATAGGAAKAATGTTCTTTACGATAAGCAGTTTGGATTTCGTAAGAAACATTCCACTACTCATGCCATTTTATCAATAACTAATAGCATTCAATGTGCTATTGAAAGTGGTAATTACTCTTGTGGAATCTTTTTGGATCTAAGAAAAGCCTTTGATACTGTTGACCATCAAATTTTACTTTCTAAGTTTGAGCATTATGGCATACGTGAAGTAGCAGGAAATTGGTTCTCTTCTTATTTGCATAACAGAAAGCAATTTGTTTCTCTTGGAAGTGTTTGCTCTAAAACCCTACCGATAACCTGTGGTGTTCCTCAAGGCTCAGTCCTTGGACCCATCCTTTTTCTTCTATACATTAATGATATGTGCAATTCATCTACCTTGTTCTCTTTTCATTTATTTGCAGATGACAGCAATCTTTTCTATTCTAATAAAAGTTTATTGAGCCTTGAATCTACTATTAATAATGAACTAATGAATGTTTATTCATGGCTTTGTGCAAATAAGTTGTCTTTAAACATTGACAAATCCAATTTTATCATTTTTCATTCTATTCAGAAAAAGGTACATGACATATCAATCAACAT